GGTCCTCCCCATACCATAACTGGTACCAGATGAAACCATATGCATAATGTAAAGTGGCACTCTGCCTGTAGAAATCATGTGGTGCCATGACATGTCAAAGCGAAAATGGTTATAAACATGTTTTGGCCTAAGTTCAGTATAAATGGTAGAATGTGATAGACCTGGTACTGCAGTAACTGAATTGTTCTTACATGATTTTTACTATGACTTCCATACCAAACAATGATCTCTTGTACAGCATGAATCAAGTGCTCTGATCTCAATGTGCCTGTTTATAAATTCCACATTGAACTTTTCCCGGGACGGTCTGATCTTTGGTGTTGGTCTCTCTTCTCCTCCTCTCTGCATTGATAAAGCAATCCTGATTTCTCTGTAAAATAGAACAATCAAATTTTTTTTTTTTTTTTATATTTGAAATTTTGTCTTTTCAAAAATTGATTTTCCTTAATCTGACCCAGACATGATTTGATCTGCATTCATCCTGCCATCTCTCTCCGCCATTCTGTATTTCCTGTCTAATCTGAGCGGAGTACAGTGATTTCTTATTAAAGGGCTCTTATAATTCCTCTAGTCTCCTGTAGACTTTCCAAAGCAAAAAAAACTAAATTTTTTTTATATTGCTAGCTGTCCTACTTGTTTATAATCTGGCTCAAATTAAAAACTGAATTTCACTCCTTTTTTATATGTGCTGGTGAAATATAAAACTGAAGTTTAGCAGAAATAGGGTTGAACAAACATCTAAATGTTTATGAAAATCTTTAGTTGTAAAAGGCGCATTTGCCGCATTCTATTTCTAATCATTTAAATGGCACATTGTAATACTAATCTGCCCAGCACACCTACGATGTAAACTGTATTACATTGTGAATGGTATTCATTTGTTATGCCTGTTAAGGATCCAGTGTGTTTTCTGGTAGCCCTGTTCTATAAAGTAATTTTACAGCTGTTAAAGGAATCCCAGTAAATGTTGGAATTGAAATTGCCACACAAATTAAAATAGTCCCAGATACAACTCTATTCCACTAGGGTCAGGGAACAATTTCATAAAATAGCCAATGTGTTTTTGGGGGGCACAG